AAAAAAAAAAATACAAAAGGAATCTACACATAAACTATCTATATTTGTGTCTTTGGACAACACATTTTTGATAGAGAAAATTGTATAGCTCTCTAGAAATTAGTTTTCAGGTTGTGACTTTTAAAAAGCCAAAAAATGAAACCCCCTCATGTTTAAAATAATTAAAAATACGGCAATTCTTTTCTGGTATGAGTTCTTCTGTTTTTTGCATTAATATTATGAAATAATTCCTTTTGTTGGTATTAGAAATGTTCTTCAGAGAAATTCTAAAATTTATTTTTTTCATATTTTTGAAAATTAGTGATAGGGTAGGTAAACTTACCAAAAAAGAGTGCTACATAACAAAGTATCACAAACCTGATTTCAAAGCTAATTCGACTACAACATTTATCAACCCAACATGACCTGAAGGTCAACCAACAAATAAAGGATTACCTAGAATTAAAACTTTGGATCAATACCAAAGAAGTTACTAATACTCTGACATAACAAGTAGAAAAAAAACTTATGAATGTGAAAAAAATCAGTACTCATACATAAGGGCAAGCAATGGATTAAAAACTCTAATGACCTCTTCGACATCACAATTGGATCATTAGAACTCTGCGGAGTCTCTGGATCTCATTAGTCTTTTTTTTTTCTTTTTTTTTTATTGTTCTTACAGTATATCACAAAATTTGTATTAATAACATTAGATTGTACAGAGATGATGGTCTTATGGTTATAAAAAAATTCTACAAACTTTAAAATTGATAAAATTAGAAAACTATTATACAGGGAATATTTAAATTCCCTGTATTCTAGTTTTCTAGTACTTACAGTAATTTTCAAGTTCAGGCATTTAAGCGTGAACTTGAAAATTACTGTAAGTACTAAATTGAGAAAAGTGAACTTCCTTGATGAAACATTAGATTTAATGAATAATATACAAAAAGCCCAATACTGATCCTTTGTATATACACCCTAAGTTTAATCATCCTCCATCTATATTAAGCATATGCCTTTTATCTATCAAAAAGAGAATAAGTACAAACTCAGCAAATGAGAAAATATTCTATGGATATAGGTGATTTCTATAATAAGGCTCTAAAGAATAGCAGCTATAAATGCCCAAAACTCTATTATATGAAAATGCAAACCATAGAAAAAACAGAGAAAAATCATTTGGTATACACCCTCATACAACCAAATGGTAAAAAATAAATTGGGAGAAAAATTCTTTGCATTAATTGGTAAACATTTTCCTAGATTTAATAAAAATACCCTTAAATTAAGTTACAGTTGATATGATTATTAAGAAACATAATCCTTAAAATTGTCCTCTCAATAATAAATGTTGCATGGATTCATTGATTTATCAATGTAATATTTCATCCACTGAAGATCCAGACATAGTTAAAATCTGCATCAGATGCACAAAACCTGATTTCAAAAGATGTTGGAACCAACATCAAATGTCCTTACAGAAATCAAATGTCCCTATCTAAATATTTTTGGCACTTAAAAGAAACTTATAAAACACCAACAGTAAAATAGAAATTAATAAGAAGAGCTAGAGCTTGTAAGTCATTTAATGACCTATGTCCTTTGTGTATACATGAAAAATTATACATTAATAAGTTTCTGAAATATAAAAATTTACTTAATCAAAGAAATAAAATAGCTATTTTTTGTAGACACTATCATTTTGAAAAAGAGATGAAACATGAAACCTCCATGTTTATACTTGATCTTTGATTAATAATTTCTTTTTTTTTTTTTTTTTTTAAATATGAATGTAATTCTTAAGATATTTATTTAGAAAACAACATATAGTCTATTAGTTATTAGAAGTATTTTAAATTTGTAGGAATAAATTTTTAAATATTAAAAATAAGACTTACTCTTATTCTGACAACTTTTTAAGAAATCTTTTGTGTATAAAATCATAAATTAAACGCCCAAATAAAAATGCCAAAAATTGTTTATAATTGAAAAAAACCCAGACGACACACGAAAAACAGATGTCATTGTTTGTTGAACAGGCACACCTACATCACCTTAACTTAACCCGATTTTGAAAGTAACTTATATTTGATACATAAGTTGTCTAAGGAAATCAATACTGAAATACCCCTTGTTAAAATGATTGAATTTTTCCGCAACCATAACAGTTTAAAATATTAAGATAGTGCTTATAAGTGAAGTAAACTTCTTAATAGGTTATTCCAAAAATCGCTAGAGAATCGAGCTAATATATTTTAAATTCAATGTTATAATTAAATTTAAAATTTTAGTTTCTGTTTTGAAACCTGGTAATTCCTGTGTAGCGATGGGATCATATTTTTAAAATAGTAAATAATTATAATATTATGCTCTATGGTTTATGTATCAATCACTGTTTGTTTTTTTTCTCTAAAAGTAATTACTAAGGACACTGGATTGTAAATCTTACTGTAAGAAAAATTATTTTTGGCATATCTCCATTAAAAAAAAAATGTTTTGTTGAATATTCTAGACATATGTCTGTTTCCATTTTAATTCTCCCCAGTTCATGTATCAATTTCTTATTTTCTGTACAAAACAGAGTGAGAAAAACACTAATTATCCACATGGTTTTTATTTTCCCAAGTACTTTCAATCTCATCCAATATCATCTTCAGGGGTGAATTGCTCAAACAAAGAATTAATGTAAGTTATGAATATGGGAGCATGAACGCCATTATGTAAGGGAAGTAATTTATGTAAATTCTTATTAAAATTATGTGTTTTGAAATATTGTTTTAATTGTAGTTTTTAACAATTACAACAAACCAATAACAACCAACAATGCAGAACATGACAAATTAAAACTTCCCACGATAATTGGTGACTACAAACTTGGATGCATGTATGGAACTATAAACATACATAAACCTAACTTCCCTCTCTATCCTATCATATCCCAAATCTCCTCTCCGTTTTACAAATTAACCAAAATCATTACCCAACTCATTACACCATACACACCTAGCAAATACAGCATTAAATCAACTCACAAACTAATCTAAATCTTAAAAGCCTAAAAATCTAATAATAAAACCATAGTCTCACTTGACATTGAAAGTTTATTTACCAATGTCCCAGTTAAGGAAACGATTGATATAATTATAAAGAATATTTACAACAATCCATATCTCCCTCCATTAACCTTTACCACACTGGAGGCAAAACTTGTTGCCATATAATTTTCTCCCTTTGCAGCTCTAGGCACATTCTATCGCCTTGAGATGGTTGCTATAAATAAATATTTGTCAACTATTATTTCCAGTATTTTATGTTGGAAGTCGACTACTACTGCTTTGGAACATGGATAAACTTTTGTTTTCCAACATCATTTTTAATTCTTCTAGTCTCTACACAAGGTGCAACATCGTTTTTTTTTTTTTTTTTTTTTTTTTTTTGTAAACAAAATGGCCGCATCGACATCCAATAAAGCCTTTATTCAGGCATTTTTCTTTGATTCTGAAGGCTTTACTCAAGTGGATATTGATGTTGAAGTGGTTGGAGATGATAACCACACATCATTATGTGGAGGAAAACTATGATGACCACTAGCAGCTACATTCGTCTATGGCTGACTAATTTTATGGAAGCTACTGGCAACTTTCATCTATGGCTGACTAATTTTATGGAAGCTACTGACAGCCTTTCTGAAGGTGAATTATTTTGTCTATTTATAAACGAGGAAATAATAAATTTATTTGTCAGCAATACAAATAAATATGCTAGTCAGGTGAAAGCAAGACCAAACAAATGCCTTCTCATATGTAAACATGAGGACACACTTTGCTTCTTATTGCACCACAGAACTCCACAAGGATTAATAAAAGTTAAAGTATATTAAATTGTTAATGTATTTGTTTTTTTTTTGTTTTTTTTTGTTTTTTTTTCTAACATCAAAATATGAATACAAAACGTAATGCATTACATGATACCCTATATCAAAATATTACTTCTCCATTCTTTTATTAGTATACAAAAAATAAAATGTCCACAATACAAAGAAAGTTATAACAATTTTAAAACAGGTGTTCATGTTTTTGCACTTTTTAAAAAGAAAAAAATGCAGTGACGAGAGGGAACAATTCTAGAAAGAATTTAGCATGCTGAAGGTTAAAAATTAGACCTAACATATTATGAAAACTACTTTTGACTTGTACCAATGAGGATCCCTTCTGTGACCATCAAAATAATATACATACAACATGATGTTTCCATGGGTTTAGTTCTTTGACCAAGATTTAGTAACTTCTACATAGCTAACCTTGAAAATAAGATATATAACATCACTAAATAAAGCTCCATCTACCTAAGATATGTAGATATTTTCATCTTAATCAAAAACATAGATGAAATACATGAACTACAAAAAAACTCCATCCTTAAGTTCACATATGAGCTTAACAGTGACATTGTAGTAACAAAATTCAGACAAATACTATAAATTACAAGAGTTTTAATACTATTGCACAAATTCGTGAACATTAGGAACCTGTATTTTTCCTTCTCCTTTGAAAATGTGCTGCTGAAAAGTTCTCAGCCCAACAAGGAAGATATTCCAAAATAAGTTCTTGTATTTTATCATTTGGTCAAATTTTGGGAATTGGATCATTATGAGAATTTTTCATACTAAATTTCAATATTCTAATTTATATTTTTTTTTTTTTTTAAGCTAAATAATCAACATTTCTCTTGTGTGATGTCAACATTTTTCAATCTACATATTGCTATAACAATATAAACAGCTTAAAACTTACTCTTTCTATTTACATCAATATGCATTAAAAATTTTCTTTAAAAAAAATAGTCTTGAACAAAATTTTTAAATCCAAAGCTGTTTATATTTTGAAAATATAGCTTTTACTTTATAATTTTGCTAAGAATGCTATTATGCTCACAAATTCTTGCATGAATATTGTTTTAATGCTTGGATTTGATATTTATTGTCTTTTTTTTTTTTTTTTTTTTTTTTTTTTTAGTATCCACAACTGGTATCCCTTCACCTCCACGCATGTTTGGTCCTGCACCAGTTCCAGTGAGCATTGCAACTGCTCCACCTGTTTATGTTGGCTTCCATCTGTACATTGGTGCTTCCATTTTCCACCACCACCTGGGCCTTACCAGGTTCCTGTAATACCAGGTTATCAGTCTCCTCCTCCTCCACCTCACTCACAGGTAAACTTCTTCCAGATGATTGACTTTTCTGTGAATTTTTGCCAACAAGTAAAATATAGCAATTTGCAAATGTAGTTACCATACAATTTTATCTATCAGTTTGGTATCATTTTTAAAAGTCTTTAAAGTCATTAAACTGTTCCTTGAAGGAAAACCTAAATAGAAATTTAAAGTTTTGTCTTTTTTTTTTTTTTCTTTTTCTTAAAGTAATTTTGTTGGGCTATTTCCCAACTCTCCACAGATATTTGAAATATTTAGTTTTTAGTTCTTTTATGGTTCTGATCATGCACTCATGAAAACTAAGTATTTCCCTTTGGTTGAATTGTACATTTTCTATCCAAGTAGGATAGAAAATGTAAGAGAAGAGTACTAGAATTTAAGTAGTATAATCAAAAATGCTTTTGTTTTGGACTTAAGACTTCACTGTCGATATTTTAGATCCTTGTCTTTTTCATTTATCAATAATACCTCCTAACTTGTATAATTCCCATCTTGCAATATTTTCTCTTTGGTTAAATTTCTGCAAAATTATCTACATTATTCCTTCTTTCCATTGGGATTCCAGTTTTTTTTTTTTTTTTTTTTTTTAAATCGAACAATTTCCAAAGATTCATTGTCTAATTTTGTTCATTTTAACAGATATTTTTCTTAAGACTGCTATACTAAATTTATGCCAAATTGAAATTTAAGGAGATTGGTGTTTTAAGATATTTTTTTTTATTTTCTCCTGAAAAACTGAAAACTTAAGAATGTATAGAGGAGGTACAACTTTTTTCACTATCAGACTTTTGCAGCAGAACAGTTTTAGCCGATCCTCCTGTTTAGTAAAGTCTGCAATTCCTATTATTAATCCTCAGGTAAGTGGTTACAAAATTTCTTAATCTCACTAATTAATGTAAAGTTTTTAAAGATTTCTCTCAGTGTAAACATTTTTGTTCATATGATTTCCCATTCACAAAGTCAATTATGGTCTGCATGAATTGATGTTACCAGTGGTCCATTACATAGATACTTATGAAAAAAAAATAGGTATACTTTATTAATGTTCAAAAGTACTTATCAAATCACATAGCTCAACATTTATCAGTTTTCATATACAAGTTGCATGATCTGCTTTACTTCGGTTAAGACGTTCATTGGTAATTGTGAATTTTCTTGATTACTTGTTTGAGATTTTTTCCTACTGAGCAAACAGAAAATATCCTTATATAAAACATTTTCATATAATTATATATAACTTGAATAATGAAACAAAATAATTAAAAATAATATAAAGTTCTTGCCAGAATCAAAATTTATCCATTAACTGTAAATAATTTAACAATGAGATCCATATTAATTTGATAAGAAATGCATGAGACTAGAGAAAAAAATAGAGGTGAACTTATACATGTTTTTTATACAAGCTTTGGGTTATGTAAGAATTTATGAAAAGAAACATTAGTCAGCATTTAAATACTAGCCACCGCCACCTTCACACTAATATATATTTTTGGACAAATTATACATTGACAAGGAAAATGGATTTATAAGAATTCAAAATAAAGAACATGAAATATTTTATTTCTAGAAAGTTTAACAGGTGATTTCCCCCCCCCTTATCGTCATGGTGCAAATGCAATGCAACAAGTAATCCTGTAGCAGAAATAAGTTCTTCTATATGGATCATATTTTCCAGACTTGTTACCCTCAGATAATCACTTGTTTCATTATTTGGAGCATTCCTTGTCTGCTCAACTGTTTCTACAAGGATATAAAAACAAAAAAATTTCAGAATTCATAAAATCAAAACCGGAATCTTCTATGATTTAAATAAAACACAGTTTAGGTGAAGGGGGAAAATTACTGAATAATGAGGCTTTTGATTTACGTGGTATTTTTAGCAAAAATGTGAAATTGTTAATTAAATGGGGACTAAATTTAACTTGGATGTGCTGTCTATTCTTAAGATCAAACTGAACCCCAAAATCTTAGATTACCTGAAGAAATATTATTGCTAATATAATGTTATTTTGACTTTTTCTGGGCGTTGGTTCTTTTAGACAGATATAGAGAGAATAGTTGAAGATGGATTTCTTTTCTATTGAATCTGAAGATTATTTTTTGGTTCATCTAGTAAATTATAAAGCTTTTAATCATGGAATTCAATTAAGTCTCTTTTTTTTTTTTTTTCTTTAACAGATTCTTGGCAGTTTGTGTTATCACAGCATCATTGACAATAATGCTGTTTTGCTATAACCTTTAAGCTATTGTTTTACTTTGTCAGATTAAATATTAATACACTTAGCTGTTTACTTGATCATCTTGCAATTAAACATGCATCATTCCTTCTTTCCACTGGAATTCCAGAAAGGCAAGCTGAACAAGTTTCCATTCAGTGACATCATGCAGCATTACTCTTGTTCTATACCTTCTAAGACCAAATGATTAATCATAATCTATTTGGGAATTCAGCATTAACACAGAAGTGGTTGATATATCATAAAACAAACCAAAGTAAATCCTTTATATGTTGTGATCATTGTTCACTGGCTCATATCATTAAAGTTTGTGTATATGAAGAACAAAGACTTCTGTAACACATGTGTTTTTTATGTATATCTGAAATAACTTGTATATTTTTTAATTTTTATTTTTTAATGTATTAATACTATGTATTAAGACTATATTTGCTTTATTAGAAATGTCTAAAACTTTTACTTTGATTATTATCTAATCAATATTTTTGTTGCATTCAGGATGTAAAGGATAAAAAATTCACAAGTGCCAATGAAACAGACTCTAATAACTACAACAGCCATGACAAAGATCAAGAGGAAAGTACTATAACCAATGTCCATGCTAGAGAGTCTGTTGACTTTGCTCCTGAGAGCAGCAGTTGTAGCCAAACTGCTTCTGAAACTCCAACAAGTAGAGCATCTGATAGCACCTCATTGTCTTTGTCTAGATCTGCATCTTCTGCAGTAATCAGCAAAGAGAAATCCTCCTCAGAAGAGGAGGACACTAATTCTAGCTCTATCACAGCTCATAAACCTGTGGATCTGGCCGATACTTGCACACCAAGTGAACAGGCAACGCAACCAATATTAGAGGCTGCTGCTTAGTTTTGATTTCCCCCCCCCCCTTTCCCAAAACAATTTTTCCTGTTATCATTTTCCTGTTATATTGTGGAAAACTATTTGAATAAGATCAGCTATGGTTTTTATCAAATGTGCTTTCAGAAACAAAAACTTCAAAAAAATGTCAGTACTGGCCTCATTAGATGTTTGCTCCTTTGGATCAGCCTTGATCTTTTCTAACTTCTGCTCACATGATCAATCAAACTTCTCCATTGTTTCCAGTACTCTAGTGGTGCTTGTGAATATTTTCTCTGAACAAAATTTGAATAAATATGCTGATACCTTCTTTTCACATCAGCAATTGTTTGCACTCCCCACAATTCTGGTGAATTTGCTTGTGCTGGTCAATGATTTTTGTTACTAATAAAATTTCTGTCATCATTGGTTACCTGAATAAATAAAAGAAAACTATAAAACTAATGAAATGCTACACTGTTCACTATTGTGTGCATGTGTATATATATATATATATATATATATATATATATATATATATATATATATATATATAAAATCAGTATAAAGAGTTGAACAGAAATATTTATTAAAAAAATTCTAAAAACATGCATGATTTTGTTTTTTATTGAGTCTTATCTTTTACT